AAAATGCCCTCTCAACTGTATAGACTATGTTCACTTATTAAGAATTAATTTTCTTCATTAAATGTTGAGAAAATTGATCATGAGAAGATATCTCTCTGAAGAGAAAAGCTGAAATCTCTCATAGACTTATAAATAAGTGAACTATCTAAAGAGAGAGAATATGAACAGTATTTGAAGAAGATCTCTACAATCAATATAAAAGACTCTATTCTGATTTACTCAGATGACTCAAAAAATGAGAATTTGAATAGATTAGATGCAGACATTGCTTATACTGAAGATAATATCAATTTTATCTCAGATTTCTGAAATTTAGACTGTGAATCTGAAGTCTTTGATGCTGAACTATTTGTAATAGTGAAAGCTTTCAAACTCATTGAAATAAAATCTCATAAAAGAGGAAATAGTTTGAAAGAGACATGAATATTCTCTGATAGTCAAGCTGCTTTAAAAAGACTTAGAAATAGTCAGATTCATAATAATCAAATGAATCTTGATCTGATTTTAAACTCTGTTTTGAAAATTCAAAAGAGAAGAATATCTAAACTGATAATTCATCTACATTGAGTTCCTGCTTATATGAATATTCATGACAATGAATTGGCTGATTCAGCTGTAAAAAAGAGTTCAGAATTAAGCAGATCTATTCAAAAAACAGTGTTCTGATCTTTCATAAAGAGAAAGATAAAAGAATCTTGTTTAAATAAGTGAAATGAAAGCTGGCAGAAACAAAAGAAGAGCATACATTATTCAAGATTTGAGACAAAATCAAAGTGAAAATCTTGTTTAATTAAATGCAAAAAGAAAATATTCTCATTTATAATTCAGCTAAAACTAGGACATGGTTATTTCAAATCCTATATACAAAGATTTGATGATAGATTTGATTCAACAGAGTGCTCATTCTGCAATACAAATGAGAATCCTGAGCATATTATAATGCATTGTGCATTATACAATAGTCTCAGAGTCAGATTAAAGAAGAAGTATGATTTAAATCAATTAAATATGAGGTTCTTATTCTCAACTGAGACAGGACTTAAATACTTAATAGACTTTCTATCAGAAACTCAAGCAGCTATAAGAAAATGGCTCAACTCAGAAGTATCTGAATATGAAGAGGTGAAAATTAATTAGATATAGTCTGTTAAAACAGCTATATACTATCTTTTAATAATTTTATTTTGTTATAGTCTTTCTTTACTGTACTTGTTTCTTTCTGTTCTTTTCTATCTATCTATTTAATGTGTCTATCTTTAAGACTATATTTTCTTTTCCTTTGTCATGATTTTTCCAATGATTTCAAAGTATTAATAGGTGTTGAAATACTGCAATTTATAAACAGTTTTTGTATTCTGGGCTGGAATTTTCTGATTTTGCATATCTGAAATTGATAAGTGTATAATAGTTGACTCTATAGATATAGGAAAAACTCTGAGAACTAAAGGTTCTCAGGTAGATGTCATAGTCTCTGACTGTATACATCTATAATTGAAGAATAATAATAATAATAATTCTTGATAACTCAAGTAGTCACAGAGATATCTTCAAGAAGGTTGACAGTGTATATTACTCATATCTCATGAGTATTAAACTGGCTCAGGTTAAGACAGAATTTTCATTCAAGAATACAGATAAAGCTGTGAAATTTAGACAATGTATTTCTCTTATAATTCAGAGAATCTCTGACCTTAATCTCTCTATCTTTATGATAGATATAGGTGTGTAGAGGCTGCGGTGATTACAGAGTGATTGAAGAGCTTATGTCAAAATATGCAGTGAGTTCAGAAATCTCGGATTTCTATCAGAGTAGAGATGTACACACTCTAGAAAATGATGTGAAGTTTCTCTCAGAGAGTGAGATCAGATCAGTACCAGCACAGATGTGTGAGATTATATCAGTCTGTTAATAGAGCTTAACTGATTCAAACTTGTGATCAGATCAAGTGATTTGAATTATAATGTGATGAAACTAGACTGACCGTGTCAAAACACACATATTTCAAGTTCTTTATATCACTGAAAATAGCAATGCTTCACGAACTCGCTCGATTTTTCGAATAAGAACCCGCCGATAGATCCATCGAAAAGTCCTCGATCATACGAGCATTCTGACCCCATCGCCGACCGCATACCCTGTGTGGTGGTGGAGTTATCCAGCCAAACGTGAACCGGACGTTGTTTGAAACTCCTGTGTGGGATTATCCCCTGTTCTCCCCTACCACACCACAACCCCGGGCCAAAGTGTCATACAAATTGTAAGGTGAAGAGACCTAGCCATATGCACCAATCTTCTCGATTTTGGAAGATCCCCAATCTGTAGTTGTGGAGATATCCGAGGAGCGACCTCCGCGAAAACCCTGTCCATCTTTGATGTTCCAAAACACCAACACCAAGTCTCACCCTCGTACCGCCCTTCCCAATCTGGCCCATCCCCGGCAGAAAAATACAAAAAGATACCTCAGCAATAATATCAAGCACATAATCAATAGACTCTTCTGAAGTGCAACCTCCACAGTCTGTCATCAGTGTATCTAGACTTCAACACCAAGTCTCACCCTTGTACTATCCCTCTCAATCTGGCCCATCCCCGGCAGAACAATACAAAAAGATACCTCAGCAACAGCATTCAATACATAACCAGCAAACAATGAGTCAACAGCACATCAACAACTATAAAATCAGTATATCTCAAGGTCTGACTGAACCTTAGATCCCTCCACGCCAACAGATATTAAATCAATAT